TCCCTTTAATGATCTTGGTCTACAGTGAATTTACCGAAAGAGTTGAATAAGAGTCAGTATTCTTGTTCATAACCTAGAATCGACCTCTCACCTCGTGAAGCAGTAGACTGCGTCCGAAACTGCTATGAAAGTAGCAATCACGATCCACACAGTTACCCAACGGCGATATTGAGTCATGTATTATGATGGTAGTTGGTTGAAACGAGGCTAAACCTGAGGTTGAGAACTTTTGTCAAGATGGTTGAGGAGGTAAGGGATAAAATGATATGCAAACTGTTTACTAACGAACCTATCTGACTTTTATCCAAGACAATGCTCATATGTGGAGGGCGACCATTGCATTAGCTGGAGCGCCAACCGTGATTTCTGGAGCGCGCGGGCGCCGAATACGTGGAGAGGATTCGTGAATTCAAATAGAGTAGGAGATTTTTTGAGATTAGTAGTGTTATCTTTATGATTTAGTACCGTACATGGTGCGTCATTAGGAAGAGAGTGAGTGAATGTCAACTTGCAACATTGAGACCAGCCACGACCAGTTCTTTTGTGAACATCTTCCACGACGTCATTATCTGCTCTTGAGCATTGCACCCTCAGAAAGATTATTTTCTCGATTACAATCCAGTGCTCCTTGGCCTTCTGTGCTCGCGATTCAGGGAGAAAACTCTGCTCGATCGTTGGTGGCTCGAGACCCGGCCTTAACAAAGCAGGCTAACCACCCCCTTGCGAGAATGAGGTTTACCCAATCTACCACCCTATGACTACCCGTAGTGCATTGAAGTCGGGTGAAAGAAAAGGCTAGAGACAATGGAAAACCTACAAGGTGGTGTTGCGCTGAAAATGCTGGCCATTACGCCTCGGATCCAGGTTGGACTCATCCTGAACGGAACACATCCCAACATGGGTCTTTTGGCCGGAAATGTTCCCGGGGGTGTCTTGAAAACCATTATCCAAGAACATGCTCATTTCGAACAATTCGTGGATCTATTGAAGCGGCGGTAAGCAAATGACAACAGTCACCGTCGTTTTCAAACTAACAACCCGGTAATAGGGCGGAACTAGATCAAAAATAGTATGCGAACCATGATAAGTCTTGATGCCTCAAAGCGGTAACATCTATCATGCCAGCCTTGATGACCTTCAAACACTCAACCAATCTGTCAATCCCGAGTGGTCACAAAGCGGTATCTGGACACTTGTGGGGCCTCTTATTGACTTCTTTTCTAAAGGTCAGTTCCTTTCATAACGTGGTACCCGTACTCATCGCTTTGGTAGAGGTTATACAACGCCGTGAGGTGTGCGAATCGGTCACAACTTGGATCTCTAATTTGGACATAGCAAAATCACCCAATTTTCCCGACGAAGTGAGTTCTCCTACAGATCAAGCGCGTTCATATGGTTCACACTGTTGTCAGAGTGGAGTGCCAATCAGTGCACAGTACACCGATCTGGGCGAATTGTTTAGAGAATATGAGAATTGTCGCTTAGAAGCTAGTTCACCTGCTTCGATTGCGGAGCTGAAGGCATGGCATGAACATAATTTTACTAGCTGGACTTGTGATCTTCGTCCCGGCGATATTCCATTATTCAATCTTCCTCCTTCAGGTGAGTTAGCACTCGAACGAGAAGATAACTATCAACCAGACCTAGAAAAGGCATTTCGGCGAAGCATAACACGGCTCCAGGACAGGGCCACCAGCATTTCGACGTGGCACAAAGAGAAGTTCCCGGTCAGAAACAGAGCTTGGGAAATTGCGAACGAACGACTCACATTTCTGTATGTAGGATCGTTTAGAATCTCATCAACAACGGAGTGAAAACGTCAAATCTCTTATAAAAAGGATCAACGATGGTTATAGGTAGCAAGCTATAAGCTACTATAGATGCGACTGGTTACTCAACTAATTCTGAACAGTGGGCTCTACGTGGAGCTGGTCACTCACCTTGACTACACTAAGGATCAAACCCAAGCATTCTCGTCATCCGCTTTCATTTCCAAAGCACATGATGGTCAACAGCTTGAAGCAGAACACGCTTCGATGCAGCCAGTGAACCATGTGGATTTCGTAACGGGGGAGACAAAGGATGCTGTCATTTTCGGTACCGAGAAAATAAATTCCATTAAAGC